CAATGACGACAATGACGACAATGACGACAATGACGACAATGACGACAATGACGACGGTGACAATGACGACAATGACGACAATGACGACAATGACGACGGTGACAATGACGACAATGACGACAATGACGACAATGACGACGGTGACAATGACGACAATGACGACGGTGACAATGACGACGGTGACAATGACGACAATGACGACAATGACGACAATGACGACGGTGACAATGACGACAATGACGACAATGACGACAATGACGACGGTGACAATGACGACAATGACGACGGTGACAATGACGACAATGACGACAATGACGACAATGACGACAGTGGCGACAATGACGACAATGACGACAATGACACGGTGACAATGACGACAATGACGACGGTGACAATGACGACAATGACGACAATGACGACGGTGACAATGACGACAATGACGACCGGTGACATGACGACGGTGACAATGAACGACAATGACGACGGTGACAATGACGACAATGACGACGGTGACAATGACGACAATGACGACAATGACGACAGTGACGAATGACGACAGTGACGACAATGACGACAATTGACGACGGTGACAATGACGACAATGATGACAATGACGACAATGACGACGGTGACAATGACGACAATGACAGACAATGACGACGGTGACAATGACGACGGTGACAATGACGACGGTGACAATGACGACTATTACGACGGTGACAATGACGACAATGACGACAATGACGACGGTGACAATGACGACAATGACGACGGTGACAATGACGACAATGACGACAATGACGACAAGTGACTAGGTGACAATGACGACAATGACGATGGTGACAATGACGACAATGACGACAATGACGACAATGACGACAATGACGACAATGACGACGGTGGACAATGACGACATGACGACAATGACGACAATGACGACGGTGACAATGACGACAATGACGACAATGACGACAGTGACGACAATGACGACAATGACGACAGTGACAATGACGACAATGACGACGGTGACAATGACGACGGTGACAATGACCGACGGTGACAATGACGACGGTGACAATGACGACAATGACGACGGTGACAATGACGACAATGACGACGGTGACAATGACGACAATGACGACAATGACGACAATGACGACGGTGACAATGACGACAATGACGACAATGACGACAATGACGACAATGAACGACGGTGACAATGACGACAATGACGACGGTGACAATGACGACAATGACGATGGTGACAATGACGACAATGACGACAATGACGACAAATGACGACATGACGACAATGAAGACAATGACGACAATGACGACAAATGACGACGGTGACAATGACGACAATGAGCGACAATGACGACAATGGACGACGGTAGCAAATGACGACAATGACGACAATGACTACAATGACGACGGTGACAATGACGACGGTGACAATGACGACAATGACGACGGTGACAAATAGACGACAATGACGACGGTGACAATGACGACGGTGACAATGACGACGGTGACAATGACGACAATGACGACGGTGACAATGACGACAATGACGACGGTGACAATGACGACGGTGACATGACGACGGTGACAAATGACGACGGGTGACAATGACGACAATGACACGGTGACAATGACGACAATGACGACGGTGACAATGACGACAATGACGACAATGACGAACATGACGACGGTGACAAGTGACGACAATGACGACAATGACGACAATGACGCAATGACGACGGTGACTATGACGACAATGACGACGGTGACAATGACGACAATGACGACGGTGACAATGACGACAATGACGACGGTGACAATGACGACAGTGACAATGACGACAATGACGACAATGACGACAATGACGACAATGACGACAATGACGACAATGACGACGGTGACAATGACGACAATGACGACAATGACGACAATGACGACGGTGACAATGACGACAATGACGACAATGACGACCATGACGACAATGACGACGGTGACAATGACGACAGGTGACAATGACGACAATGACGACGGTGACAATGACGACAATGACGACGGTGACAATGACGACGGTGACAATGACGACAATGACGACAATGACGACAATGACGACAATGACGACAATGACGACGGTGACAATGACGACAATGACGACAATGACGACAATGACGACGGTGACAATGACGACAATGACGACAATGACGACAATGACGACGGTGACAATGACGACAATGACGACGGTGACAATGACGACAGGTGACAATGACGACAATGACGACAATGACTACAATGACGACGGTGACAATGACGACAATGACGACAATGACGACAATGACGACGGTGACAATGACGACAATGACGACGGTGACAATGACGACAATGACGACAATGACGACAATGACGACAGTGGCGACAATGACGACAATGACGACAATGACGACGGTGACAATGACGACAATGACGACGGTGACAATGACGACAATGACGACAATGACGACGGTGACAATGACGACAATGACGACGGTGACAATGACGACGGTGACAATGACGACAATGACGACGGTGACAATGACGACAATGACGACGGTGACAATGACGACAATGACGACAATGACGACAGTGACAATGACGACAGTGACGACAATGACGACAATGACGACGGTGACAATGACGACAATGATGACAATGACGACAATGACGACGGTGACAATGACGACAATGACGACAATGACGACGGTGACAATGACGACGGTGACAATGACGACGGTGACAATGACGACTATTACGACGGTGACAATGACGACAATGACGACAATGACGACAATGACGACGGTGACAATGACGACAATGACGACGGTGACAATGACGACAATGACGACAATGACGACAATGACGACGGTGACAATGACGACAATGACGATGGTGACAATGACGACAATGACGACAATGACGACAATGACGACAATGACGACAATGACGACGGTGACAATGACGACAATGACGACAATGACGACAATGACGACGGTGACAATGACGACAATGACGACAATGACGACAGTGACGACAATGACGACAATGACGACGGTGACAATGACGACAATGACGACGGTGACAATGACGACGGTGACAATGACGACGGTGACAATGACGACGGTGACAATGACGACAATGACGACGGTGACAATGACGACAATGACGACGGTGACAATGACGACAATGACGACAATGACGACGGTGACAATGACGACAATGACGACGGTGACAATGACGACAATGACGACAATGACGACAATGACGACAATGACGACGGTGACAATGACGACAATGACGACGGTGACAATGACGACAATGACGACAATGACGACAATGACGACGGTGACAATGACGACAATGACGACGGTGACAATGACGACGGTGACAATGACGACAATGACAACAATGACGACAATGACGACGGTGACAATGACGAAAATGACGACAATGACGACAATGACGACAATGACGATGGTGACAATGACGACAATGACGACAATGACGACAATGACGACAATGACGACGGTGACAATGACGACAATGACGACGGTGACAATGACGACAATGACGATGGTGACAATGACGACAATGACGACAATGACGACAATGACGACGGTGACAATGACGACAATGACGACGGTGACAATGACGACAATGACGACAATGACGACAATGACGACAGTGACGCCAATGACGACAATGACGACGGTGACAATGACGACAATGACGACAATGACGACAATGACGACGGTGACAATGACGACAATGACGATGGTGACAATGACGGCAATGACGACAATGACGACAATGACGACGACAATGACGACAATGACGACAATGACGACGGTGACAATGACGACGGTGACAATGACGACAATGACGACAATGACGACAATGACGACAGTGACGACAATGACGACAATGACGACAATGACGACGGTGACAATGACGACGGTGACAATGACGACGGTGACAATGACGACAATGACGACAATGACGACAATGACGACGGTGACAATGACGACAATGACGACAATGACGACAATGACGACAATGACGACAATGACGACAATGACGACAATGACGACGGTGACAATGACGACAATGACGACGGTGACAATGACGACAATGACGACAATGACGACAATGACGACAATGACGACAATGACGACGGTGACGACAATGACGACGGTGACAATGACGACAATGACGACAATGACGACAATGACGACAGTGACGACAATGACGACAATGACGACAATGACGACGGCGACAATGACGACAATGACGACAATGACGACAATGACGACAATGACGACGGTGACAATGACGACAATGACGACGGTGACAATGACGACAATGACGACAATGACGACAATGACGACAATGACGACAATGACGACGGTGACGACAATGACGACGGTGACAATGACGACAATGACGACAATGACGACAATGACGACAGTGACGACAATGACGACAATGACGACAATGACGACGGTGACAATGACGACGGTGACAATGACGACAATGACGACAATGACGACAATGACGACGGTGACAATGACGACAATGACGATGGTGACAATGACGACAATGACGACAATGACGACAATGACGACAATGACGACGGTGACAATGACGACAATGACGACGGTGACAATGACGACAATGACGACAATGACGACAATGACGACAATGACGACAATGACGACGATGACGACAATGACGACAATGACGACGTCGACAACGCCGGCGAGGTGGCGAGGTCGGGAGGGTCACGAGGCCAAGAGGTCACTGGGTCACGATATCGCGGGGACGCAAGGTCACTAGTTCACGGGGTCACGATGCCACGGGCTCGCGTGGCCGCGGGGTCGCGAGGCCGCGGGCTCGCGAGGCCGCGGGGTCGCGGGGTCGCGGGGTCGCGGGGTCGCGGGGTCGCTCACCCTGACGACGCTGTAACCGGGCTCGCCGGCGCGCGCCAGGCCCGTGAGTGCGGCCTGCAGGGCCCTCCACGCCGTGCTCTTGCCGCTGCCCGTGGGGCCAACAAGGGCCGTGGCGTGGCGCGAGCCCTTGGTCTCGTGCAGCCGCAGGCAGGTGGCCAGCGTCGACGCCGTCGCCTGCAGGCCCGCCGACAGCAGCTCCCTCTCCACGGCCTCGCGCAGCTAGGCGGGTGGGTGGGTGGGTGGGTTAGTGGGTGGGTGGGTGGGTGAGTGGGTGGGTGAGTGGGTGGGTGAGTGGGTGGGTGGGTGAGTGGGTGGGCTAGCAGGTGGGTGAGTGGGTGGGTGGGTTAGCAGGTGGGTGAGTGGGTCGGTGGGTGTGTGGGTGGGTGAGTGGGTTTGTGGGTGGGTGAGTGGGTGGGTGGGTGAGTGGGTGGGTGGGTTAGCAGGTGGATGAGTGGGTCGGTGGGTGTGTGGGTGGGTGAGTGGGTGGGCTAGCAGGTGGGAGGGTGGGTGAGTGGGTGGGTGGGTTAGCAGGTGAGTGAGTGGGTCGGTGGGTGTGTGGGTGGGTGAGTGGGTTTGTGGGTGGGTGAGTGGGTGGGTGGGTGAGTGGGTGGGTGGGTTAGCAGGTGGGTGAGTGGGTCGGTGGGTGTGTGGGTGGGTGAGTGGGTTTGTGGGTGGGTGAGTGGGTGGGTGGGTGAGTGGGTGGGTGGGTTAGCAGGTGGATGAGTGGGTGGGTGAGTGGGTGGGTGGGTGAGTGGGCTAGCAGGTGGGTGAGTGGGTGGGTGGGTTAGCAGGTGGGTGAGTGGGTCGGTGGGTGTGTGGGTGGGTGAGTGGGTTTGTGGGTGGGTGAGTGGGTGGGTGGGTGAGTGGGTGGGTGGGTTAGCAGGTGGATGAGTGGGTGGGTGAGTGGGTGGGTGGGTGAGTGGGTGGGCTAGCAGCTGGGAGGGTGGGTGAGTGGGTGGGTGGGTTAGCAGGTGGGTGAGTGGGTCGGTGGGTGTGTGGGTGGGTGAGTGGGTTTGTGGGTGGGTGAATGGGTGGGTGAGTAGGTGGGTGGGTTAGCAGGTGGATGAGTGGGTGGGTGAGTGGGTGGCTGGGTGAGTGGGTGGGCTAGCAGCTGGGAGGGTGAGTGAGTGGGTGGGTGGGTTAGCAGGTGGGTGAGTGGGTCGGTGGGTGTGTGGGTGGGTGAGTGGGTTTGTGGGTGGGTGAGTGGGTGGGTGGGTTAGTGGGTGGGTGAGTGTGTGGGTGGATGAGTGGCTAGGTGAGTGGTTGGGTGGGTGAGCGGGTGGGTGGGTGAGTGCGTGAGCGGATGGATGGGTGAGTGGGTGGGTGGGTAGGTGAGTGGATGGGTGGATGGGTAGGTGAGTGGGTGGGTGAGTGAGTGGGTGAGTGGACGGTAAGGTGAGTGATTGATTGGGTGAGTGAGTGATTTGGTGAGTGAGTGAGTGAGTGGGTAGATGAGTTAGTGAGTGATTGGGTGAGTGTGTGGGTGAGTGAGTGAGTGGATGGGTAGGTGAGTGGGTGAGTGAGTGGGTAAGTGAGTGGGTGGGTAGGTGAGTTGGTGAGTGATTGGGTGAGTGAGTGGGTGGGTAGGTGAGTGGGTGAGTGATTGGGTGGGTGAGTGGATGGGTAGGTGATTGGGTGAGTGAGTGGGTAGGTGAGTGGGTGTATACGTGGGTGGGTAGGTGAGTGGGTGAGTGATTGGGTGAGTGAGTGGGTGGGTAGGTGAGTGGGTGAGTGATTGGGTGAGTGACTGGGTGAGTAGGTGAGTGGGTGAGTGAGTGGGTGGGTAGGTGAGTGGGTGAGTGATTGGGTGAGTGAGAAGGTGGGTAGGTGAGTGGGTGAGTGATTGGGTGAGTGAGTGGGTGGGTAGGTGAGTCGGTGAGTGATTGGGTGAGTGAGTGGGTGGGTAGGTAAGTGGGTGAGTGAGTGGGTGGGTAGGTGAGTGGGTGAGTGATTGGGTGAGTGAGTGGGTGGGTAGGTGAGTGGGTGAGTGACTGGGTGGGTAGGTGAGTGGGTGAGTGAGTGGGTGAGTGACTGGGTGAGTAGGTGAGTGAGTGAGTGGGTGGGTAGGTGAGTGGGTGGGTGAGTGGGTGAGTGAGTGGATGGGTAGGTGAGTGGGGGAGTGAATGGGTGAGTGATTGGGTGGGTAGGTGAGTGGGTGGGTGAGTGGGTGAGTGGATGGGTAGGTGAGTGAGTGAGTGGGTGGGTAGGTGAGTGGGTGGGTGAGTGGGTGAGTGAGTGAGTGGGTAGGTGAGTGGGTAGGTGAGTGGGTGAGTGATTGGGTGAGTGAGTGGGTGGGTAGGTGAGTGGGTGAGTGAGTGGGTGAGTAGGTGAGTGAGTGATTGGGTGAGTGAGTGGGTGAGTGATTGGGTGGGTAGGTGAGTGGGTGGGTGAGTGAGTGAGTGGGTAGGTGAGTGGGTGAGTGAGTGGGTGGGTGAGTGAGTGAGCGAGTGAGTGGTTGGGCAGTCGTTGGGAGTTAGAAACCAGAGGTGACAAATCTACTACAGCTGGGGTCGTGTCAGGGTGCCCGGGATAGAACCCACGACCTCCTGCACACCAGGCGAGAGAGATAATATCCCTCCTCCTCCTCCCCCCCTCCCCCCTCCCTCCCCCCTCCCCCCTCCCCCCCCTCCCCCCCTCCCCTACCTTTGCGTCTTCGAGTGTCGGCGCGTCGACTCCCGGGAAGAGGTCCTGGATGATGGCGCTGAAGAGGGGCAGGTCGGAGGGCGTCAGCTTGGGCGCGTTCACGTCGCGCATGCACATGAGGAGGATCTGGGGGGGCAGGGGGGGCAGGGGGGGGGAGCAGGGCGGGGGGGAGGGAGGGGGGCAGGAGGGGGGGGGGTCATTACCACCGCTAAGCTGCCTGGCTGCGACCTTACACACAGACGAAGGTCCCCCGTGTAGCCTCTAACAGGCTGTAGGGGCAAGTGCTGTTAGTAGCGAGTAGCAGCAGCACCTGTGAAGGTAGACACAGACAAAGGTCCCCCGTGTAGCCTCTACAGACTGCTGGGGCAAGTGCTGTTAGTAGCGAGTAGCAGCAGCAGCTATGAAGGTAGACACAGACAAAGGTCCCCCGTTTAGCCTCTAACAGACTGTAGGGGCAAGTGCTGTTAGTAGCGAGTAGCAGCAGCACCTATGAAGGTAGACACATAGACAAAGGTCCCCTGTGTAGGCTCTACACACTGCTGGGGCAAGTGCTGTTAGTAGCGAGTAGCAGCACCTGTGAAAGTAGACACAGACAAAGATCCCCCGTGTAGCCTCTACAGACTGTAGGGGCAAGTGCTGTGAGTAGCGAGTAGCAGCAGCACCTGTGAAGGTAGACACAGACAAAGGTCCCCCGTGTAGCCTCTAACAGGCTGAAGGGGCAAGTGCTGTTGGCAAGCACCTATGAAGGCTACCGGCACTGTGGCACACGAGGGGGTGGGTGACCAGCACCACGCCCGGCCGCCTTTGTCTCCCCACAGCGGCGATGTTTACTACATCACCACCGCTACACCAGCTACTGGGGGGGGGGGGGGGGGGGGGGGGTGTGGAGGGAATGCCCAGGTACCGGTTTCAGATAAATCGTCACCGTGAGCGGGAATCGAACTCGGGTTGCCGGGTTCGCAGCGCCAGCGCTGACTGCCACACACAGACACACACACACGCACAGACACACACACACGCACAGACACACGCACACGCACGCACGCACACACGCAGACACGCACGCAAGCATAGACATACACACGCACAGACACACAGAAGCACGCACAGACACACGCACACAAGCATAGACACACGCACACGCACAGACACACGCACACGCACACGCACAGACACACACGCACAGACACACACACACGCACAGACACACACACACGCACAGACACACACACACGCACAGACACACACACACGCACAGACACACGCACACGCACACGCAGACACGCACACGCACAGACACACACACGCACAGACACACAGACGCACGCACACGCACAGACACACGCACACAAGCATAGACACACACACACACGCACAGACACACGCACACGCACAGACACACGCACACGCACAGACACACACGCACGCACAGACACACACGCGCACGCACAGAGACGTGCACACGCACACACGCACGCAGACACGCACACACGCACAGACACACACGCGCACGCACGCACACACGCACGCGCACGCACGCACACACGCACGCACACACACACGCACAGACGCACGCACGCACGCACGCACACACGCACGCACACACGCGCAGACACGCACACACACGCACACACACGCGCGTATTTTGTAGCAGGACCGCGACAATGTCAATGACAGGGGAAGTTGATGATTATGATGACTGACCATTGTCAAAGGACACACCCAGCCTCACGTCCACTCCATCCACTGATCAACCCACGCACCCATCCACTCACCTATCAGTCTACCCACGCACCCACCCACCCACTCACGCACCAGTAAACCCACGCACCCACCCACCAGTCTACCCACGCACCAACCCACCCACCAAACTACCCATCCACTCGCCCACCAGGCGACCCAAGCACCCACCCACTCACCCACCAGTCTACCCACGCACCAACCCACCCACTAATCTACCCATCCACTCGCCCACCAGTCTACCCACACACCCACCCACTCACCCACCAGTCTACCTACGCACCCACCCACCAGTCTACCCACTCACCTACTAGTCTACCCACCCACTCACCAGCCTACCCACGCACCAACCCACCAAGCTACCCACGCACCAACCCAGCCACCAATCTACCCACGCACCCACCCATGTCTACCCACGCACCAACCCACCCACCAACCCAGCCACCCAAAAACCAACGCACCCACCACTCACTCAACAGTCTACTCAAGCACCACCCACCCACCTAAAAAGCAACCCACCCACTCACCCACCGAACAAGCTACACACGCACCAACTCAAGCAACCTAAAAACCCACCCGCCCACCTACCAACCAATCCACCCACCCACCAATCTACCCACGCACCCACCACTCACCCACCTATCAATCTACCCACTCTTCAATCTACCCACTCACCCACCTATCTAACTACTAACCAATCTACCCACCCACCTACCAAGCCACCCACCTACCCACCAACCAACCAACCCACACACCCACCAATCTACCCACGCACCCACCAATCATCCACCCACCTATCAATCTACCCTCCCACCCATGACTCAACCACCCACCTATACATCTACCTACTCACCCACCAATCTACCCACCTACCGACCAATCGACCCACCCACCTATCAACTACCCACCACCCACCTACCACTTACCCATGCCACGCCCCAACCTACCCACCCCACCCACCAACCTACCCACCCACATATCAATCTACCCACCCACTTACCCCCACCTACCAATCCACCCACGCCAACCACCAACCTACCCATCCACCTATCAATCTACTCACCCACCTACCAGCCACCCACCAACCTACCCATCCACCTTTCAATCTACCCACCAACCCACCTATCACTCACCCACCCACCTACCCAACCACTAATCTTCCCCCGCCGCCCACCAAGCTATATAACCACCCACCTTTCAATCTACCCACCCACCAATATACCCAAGCCACCCACCAACCAACCTATACACCTTTAAGTCTAACCAACCACCCACCTACCACCCACCCACATGCCCATCCACCAATCTACCCCCGCCACCCACCAACCTACATACCCACCCACCTTTCAATTTACCCACCTATCCACCAACCTACCTACCCACCCACGAAACTACCCAGGCCACCCACCAACCTACCCACCCAACGTTCGGTCTACCAACTCACTCACCTGCCACCCACCCATCAATTGACCCACGTCCACCCACCAACCTACCCACCCACCTTTCATTCTACCCACCCACGCACCTACAACCCACCCACCAATCTACCCGCGCCACCCAGCAAACTACCTACCCACCTACCTTTCAGTCTACCCACCCACGTACCTACAACCCACCCACCAGTCTACCCACACCACCCACCAATCTACCCATGCCACCCAGTGAGCGCCTCGCGCTGTGATAAGCAAACAAAGGAACATCTGCCAGAGGCGGCACGCGGATTACGGAGTGGGGGGGGGGGGGTACCACTCCACCACCACTCCACCACCACTCCACCACCACCGCCACCGCCACCGCCACCGCCACCATCACCGCCACCACCACCGTCACGGCCACCACCATCACCGACACCACCACCGTCACGGCCACCACCACCACCATCACCGACACCACCACCACCGTCACGGCCACCACCACCACCATCACCGACACCACCATTACCGTCACCGCCACCACCAGCACCACCGCCACCATCACCGCCACCACCACCACCGTCACCGCCGTCACCACCACCACTACCACCGTCACCGCCACCACCACCGTCACCACCGCCACCATCACAGCCTTCAGCCTCGTGCAAGGTCACGTTTTATCACCGCCACCGCCGCAGAGGAGGAGGATGAAAGGCCTCCGGGTGTCGAATCTAACCTTGGCGACTCGGAGTTGTTGACTACCTCGCCTGGTACGCAGGAGGTCGTGTGTTCGATCCCGACCCTGACGACGCCTGATGCTGCTGTATATTTGGAGTCTGCGTGTCTCCCACTCTCATCATCATCATCACCACGGTGGCTAGGAGATGTTGACTACCTCGCCTGGTGTACAGGAAGTCGTGGGTTCCATCCCGACCCTGACGACGCCTGCTGCTGCTGCTGTATATTTGGAGTCTGCGTGTCTCTCATCATCATCATCATCATCACGGTGGCTATGAGATGTTGACTACCTCGCCCGGTATACAGGAGGTCGTGGGTTCGATTCCCCGACCCTTACACCTGCTGTATATTTGGAGTTTGCGTCTCTCTCTCTCTCTCCCCGTGGTCGCGTGGATTTCTCTCCGGGTCCCTGCGGTAGTCCCCCTCCACGTTCAGAATCGACGTCACCCCCACGCTGTTCGGAGTATTTGGCTGCTGATATGAATTTGCACATGACGATGATGATGATGCTAAGCCGCCAACTTCGCCGAGCGATCACTCTTGATGGCCGGCCACGCTCGTGAAAAAGAAGCGCATAGCTCGGCGTGCCTTAGCTGGCAAAAATAAAGACAAATAAATAGTTTAGTCGCAGTCTACCGACGCGGCCGAGTGTCTAATTCTCGCCCTCTCCCTCCAACTGTGACCTTGGATTATTCTGCACGTTGTGTCGTGCGTGCGTGTGTGTGCGTGTGTGTGCGTGCATGTGCGCGTGTGTGCGCTTCTGTGCGCGTGTGTGCGTGTGTGTGTGCGTGTGTGTGTGCATGTGTGTGCGCGGGTGTGCACGTGTGTGCGTGCGTGTGCGCGTGTGCGTGTGTGTGCGTATGTGTGCGTGCGTGTGTGTATGCGTGCGTGCGTGTGTGTGCATGCGTATGTGTGTGCGGATGTGTGTGCGTGTGTGCATGTGCGTGCGTGCGTGCGTGTGCGTGCGTGCGTGCGCGTGTGTGCGCATGTATGTGTGTGCGTATGTGTGTGTGTGTGTGTGCGCATGTGTGTGTGTGCATGCGTGTGTGTGTGTGCGTGTGTATTCGTGTGTGTGCATATATGTGTGTGTGTGCGTGTGTGAGCGCATGTGTGCCTGCCTGCATGTGTGTGTGCGTGTGTGTGTGTGCGTGTGTGTGCGTGTGTGTGCATGCGTGTGTGTGTGTCTAAACTCCGAATCAGTCGAGCGGCAATATCTTTTCATCGGTTGCGTAACGCTGTGTGGAAGCTACCTGTTTAGTTTAACACGTAGGCTTTCGCGACCAATATTATTCACAGCTACCTGGTCTGTCGCTCCACACTAAGCTTCAGGTCTTCTCGGCCACGGTCATTCCCTCCCTTCTGTACGCTTGCGAAACGTGGACCCCTTAATGGAACATCTTCGCCGGTTGGAAACAATTAGGCTAGCCTGCCTACGATCCATCCTGGGTTTAACCAGACTGGATTGTGTGAGGAGCTCACAAATCCTTGAAAGATCTGGGCAAGGTCCCATCGGTAAGCTCCTCCGGCAGGCAAGGCTGCGTTGGCTGGGTCATGTAGCCAGCATGCCCAGCCACTGCATGCCGAAACAGCTTTTGTTCGGCCGGATCGAGGGGGCTAAACGGGCGCGGCACGGGCTAGAGAAGAAATGGAGTGATGTGGTACAGGAGGACTTGGAGCTGAGTGGACTTGCCGATGACTGGTACCAGGGGTGTCAAGATCAGCCTCTGTGGAGGAGGCTCGTGAAGGACGCTACTGGGCAGTTGGAGGCAGTCACCCTCCAACAACAATGGAGGGCGGAGGAGCGACGCTCACAACAACGAGCGGAGCACCGGGTGGCTAAAGCACAGCAGGTTGGCACAGTAGGGGGCACAGGTGGTGCATCAGCCAGTCATCTCAGTCAGTCGACCCGTGGCACCTGGGTCTGCCCCGTGACCTGCCAGCGGGCGTTCGACACTTCACGTGGCCTCAAGGTGCACATGGCCTGGCACAAGCGTCGTGGTGACGTCACCGCCACTTAGTGGCGAATTGCGGTTGTTGTGTTGTGTGGGTGAGTGAGTGTGTGGGTGAATGTGTGGGTGAGTGAGTGTGTGGGTGAGTGTGTGGGTGAGTGAGTGTGTGGATGAGTGTGTGTGTGGCTGAGTGAGCGTGCGGCTGAGTGTGTGGCTGAGTAAGTGTGTGGCTGAGTGAGTGTGTGGCTGAGTGAGCGTGCGGCTGAGTGAGTGTGTGGCTGAGTGTGCGTGCGGCTGAGTGAGTGTGTGTCTGAGTGAGTGTGTGGCTGAGTGAGTGTGCGGCTGACTGAGTGTGTGTCTGAGTAAGTGTGTGGCTGAGTGAGTGTGTGGCTGAGTGAGCGTGCGGCTGAGTGAGTGTGTGGCTGAGTGAGCGTGCGGCTGAGTGAGTGTGTGGCTGAGTGAGTGTGTGGCTGAGTGAGTGTGTGGCTGAGTGAGTGTGTGGCTGAGTGAGTGTGTGGCTGAGTGTGTGTGTGGCTGAGTGAGTGTGTGGCTGAGTGAGTGTGTGTCTGAGTGTGTGTCTGAGTAAGTGTGTGGCTGAGTGAGTGTGTGGCTGAGTGTGTGGCTGAGTGAGTGTGCGGCTGAGTGAGTGTGCGGCTGAGTGAGTGTGCGGCTGAGTGAGTGTGCGGCTGAGTGAGGGTGCGGCTGACTGAGCGTGTGTCTGCGTGACTGTGCGGCTGAGTGAGTGTGCGGCTGAGTGAGTGTGTGGCTGAGTGAGTGTGCGTCTGAGTGTGTGTCTGAGTGAGTGTGTGTCTGAGTGAGTGTGTGTCTGACTGACTGTGCGGCTGAGTGAGTGTGCGGCTGAGTGAGTGTGCGGCTGAGTGAGTGTGCGGCTGAGTGAATGTGCGGCTGAGTGAGTGTGCGGCTGAGTGAGTGTGTGGCTGAGTGAATGTGTGGGTGAGTGAGTGTGTGGGTGAGTGTGTGGCTGAGTGAGTGTGCGGCTGAGTGAGTGTGCGGCTGAGTGACTGTGCGGCTGAGTGAGTGTGCGGCTGAGCGTGTGTTTGAGTGAGTGTGCGGCTGACTGAGTGTGTGGCTTAGTGAGTGTGCGGCTGACTGAGTGTGTGTCTGAGTGAATGTGTGTCTGAGTGAGTGTGCGGCTGACTGAGTGTGCGTCTGAGTGAATGTGTGGCTGAGTGAGTGTGCGGCTGAGTGAGTGCGCGGCTGAGTGAGTGTGTGGCTGAGTGAGTGTGCGGCTGAGTGAGTGTGTGGCTGAGTGAGTGTGTGGCTGAGTGAGTGTGTGGCTGAGTGAGTGTGTGGCTTAGTGAGCGTGCGGCTGAGTGAGTGTGCGGCTGAGTGAGTGCGCGGCTGAGTGAATGTGTGGGTGAGTGAGTGTGTGTCTGAGTGTGTGTCTGAGTGAGTGTGCGTCTGAGTGAGTGTGCGGCTGAGTGTGTGTCTGAGTGAGTGTGCGGCTGACTGAGTGTGCGGCTGAGTGAGTGTGTGTCTGAGTGAGTGTGCGGCTGAGTGAGTGTGTGTCTGAGTGAGTGCGCGGCTGAGTGAGTGTGCGGCTGAGTGAGCGTGCGGCTGAGTGAGTGTGTGTCTGAGTGACTGTGCGACCGAGCGAGTGTGCGACCGAGCGAGTGTGCGGCCGAGCGAGTGTGTGCGGCTGAGTGAACGTGCCAGCACACACCCCAACCACCTCCTCACCTCCTCGTCGGAGAGCCCAGGGTTGGCACGCCGCTTGCGCCCGGCATACCGCAGCAGCGACGTGAGAGCCCGCAGACCGAAGTCGTAGTGGTCCTGACGGGACAGCTGCTGCACCGCCAGCGAGTAGAGGGTGTGCACCTTCCTGGCCAGCGCCTGCACCACACAAACCACACCGCACCGTACGTAACCACCACGCACATAACCACACCGCACCACACCGCGTGTAACCACGCCGCACCACACCGCACCTTGCAGTTGCCGAACCCCTCGCCGAAGAGGACCATCTCGGCGATGTGTGCCGAGTCCGGCACCACCATGGAGACGGGGCGGAACATCGACTTGAGGTTGTCCGGAAGTTCCGTGCGACCCACGTAGCCTGGCGGTCGTGAAACACGCACACACACACACACGCACACACACACACGCACACGTACATGCACACACGCACACACACGCACGCACGCACGCACGCACACACACGCACACACGCACGTACATGCACACACGCACACGCACACACACGTACGTACATGCACACACGCACACGCACGCACACACACGCACGCACACACATGCACACACGCGCACGCACACACACACACGTACATACACGCACACACGCACACACACACACACACGCACACACGCACACGCACACACACGTACGTACACGCACACACGCACACACACACACACACGCACACACACACGCGCACGCGCACACACACACACGCGCACACACGCACCCGCACGCACAAACAAAAAGAAGAGTCAGCGGTACCCCGTGTAGCCTATAACAGACTGTAGGGGCAAGTGCTGTGAGTAGCAGCAGCAGCTATGAACACACAAAGACAAAGATCCCCCGTGTAGCCTCTAACAGACTGTTGGGGCAAGTGCTGTGAGTAGCAGCAGCAGCAGCTCTGAACACACAAAGACAAAGATCCCCCGTGTAGCCTCTAACAGACTGTAGGGGCAAGTGCTGTGAGTATCAGCAGCAGCTTTGAACACACAAAGACAAAGATCCCCCGTGTAGCCTCTAACAGACTGTAGGGGCAAGTGCTGTGAGTAGCAGCAGCAGCTTTGAACACACAAAGACAAAGATCCCCCGTGTAGCCTCTAACAGTCTGTAGGGGCAAGTGCTGTGAGTAGCAGCAGCAGCAGCTCTGAACACACAGAGACAAAGATCCCCCGTGTAGCCTCTAACAGACTGTAGGGGCAAGTGCTGTGAGTATCAGCAGCAGCTTTGAACACACAAAGACAAAGATCCCCCGTGTAGCCTCTAACAGACTGTAGGGGCAAGTGCTGTGAGTAGCAGCAGCAGCAGCTCTGAACACACATAGACAAAGATCCCCTGTGTAGCCTCTAACAGTCTGTAGGGGCAAGTGCTGTGAGTAGCAGCAGCAGCTCTGAACACACAGAGACAAAGATCCCCCGTGTAGCCTCTAACAGACTGTAGGGGCAAGTGCTGTCAGCGAGCACCTATGAAGGCTACCGGCACTGTGGCACACGAGGGGGTGGTTACCAGCACCACGCCTGGCCGTCTTTGTCTCCCCCAGTGGCGATGTTCACTACACCACTACCACCACCGCTACACCAGGTAACTCATTTCAGGCGGAGTCGACCTAGGGGAGCGGTTAGGATCATCGCTGTCGCTGTTGTTGGTGGTGGCCGTGAGCGGGAATCGATGTCGACGATGATGACGATGACGACAATGACGACGATGATGACGACTATGACGATGATGACGACGATCATGACAACGACGACGACGATGATGATGATTATGATGATGACGATGGTGATGACGACTATGATGATGATGACGACTATGACGTTGATGACGACGATAATGACAACGACGACGACGATGATGGCGATGACGACGATGATGACGATGACGACGACGGACGACTATGACGATGATGACGATGACGATGATGACGACTATGACGATGACGACTATGACGATGACGACGACTATGACGATGACGACGATGATGACGATGACGACGATGACGACTATGACGATGACGACTGTGACGATGATGATGACGATGACGACTATGACGATGACGATGATGACGATGATGACGATGACGATGATGACGACTATGACGATGATGACGACGATGACGACGATGACGATGATGACAACGATGACGACGATGACGATGATGACAACGATGACGACGATGACGACTATGACGATGACGACAAAGACGATGACGACTACGATGACGACTATGACGATGATGACGATGATGACGACTATGACGATGACGACTATGACGATGACGACTATGACGATGATGATGACGATGACGGCGATGACAATGACGATGATGACAACGATGACGATGATGACGACTATGACGATGATGACGACTATGACGATGATGACGACTATGACGATGACGACTATGACGATGATGATGACGATGACGGCGATGACAATGACGACGATGACGACGATGACAACGATGACGATGATGACGACTATGACGACAATGACAACGATAACGACGATGACGACAAAGACGATGACGACTACGATTATGACGACGGCGAAAACAACAACAAACAACAACAACAAACAACCGCCCATCCCTCCCCTCCCCCCCTCCCCCCCCTCCCTCCCCCCCACCCCGCCCCACCGGTGTTCATGGTGACGAAGATTCCGCACGAGGGCCTCAGCGTCACCTCGCGGCCCTCGAACACGAAGCGTCGCAGGCCGGCGGCGAGCGCCGTGAACACGCCGGCGATCTGCCGGGCCACCACGGACAGCACCTCCTCGCTGACGAGGTGGAACTCGTCGAAGCAGCCCCAGGCGCCCGTCTGCCCCCGGCCGGCCGGCCGGGAGGGGGGGAAGAGTAGGCCAAGGGCGGAGCAACGCACCGGTGAGCACGTCGTCGTCATCGTCGTCATCATCCTCCTACTCCCACCACCCACCTCCTCACCCCCCACGCTGACGATGTCTTATCGGCGAAAGTGGAGAAGCATCGCCTCTCACTGGCCCGGGCAAATAGAGACAAAGGTCCCCCCCCCCCCCCCCCCGTGTAGCCTCGACAGACTGATGGGGCAAGTGCTGTCAGTAGCGAGTAGCAGCAGCAGCAGCTATGAAGGCCAGGAACCGTGACACACACGCACACACGCATACACACACGCATACACACACACATACACACACACATACACACACACACATACACACATACACACACACACATACACACATACACACACACACATACACACACACACATACACACACACACATACACACACACACATACACACACACACACATACACACACACACATACACACACACACATACACACATACACACACACACATACACACACACACATACACACACACATACACACACACAAATACACACACACACAGAGACACACACACAAACACACACACATACATACACACACACACACACAAAGATCCCCCATATAGCCTTAACAGACTGTAGGGGCAAGTGCTGTTAGCGAGCACCTATGAAGGCCGGAACGGTACACGAGGGGGTGGGTGGCCAGCACCACGCCCGACCGCCTTTGTCTCCCTAGTGGCAATGTTTACACACCGCACCAGGTACTCATTTGAGGCTGAGTCGACCTAGGGGAGGCCCGGGACCGGTTCAGATAATCGTCACTGGTGTTGGCCGTGAGCGGGAATCGAACTCGGGTCGCCAGGTTCATAGCGCAGCGTAGCGCTAACCGCTACACTATCGCTCCCCACACACACACTCACATACACACTCACATACACACATACACACACACACTCACATACATACACACATACACACACTCACATACACACACATAAGTGCGAAGCGTCACACACCGTGCACAGGTAACTCGTTTAGACGCCAGGCAGACGGAAACTTTGCGCCTACGTCCATTAAAAGTTTTGCCTGGCGAAGGGCTAAAAGTTGGAGGATCCCATTTTTTGCCTCCCGACTGCGGCGACATCCCTAGGCCCGAGCCAACTCGGAGGGCTCCGCCAGCCGTGGCCTTCAAGTCGAAACCTTCGGTGGGAATAACGAGGGAGAGAAAATCCCCCCTCCCCCCAGCCCCTCCCCCCCAACCCCGCCCCTCCCCCCAACCCCGCCCCTCCCCCCCAACCCCGCCCCTCCCCCCCAGCCCCGCCCCTCCCCCCCCAGCCCCGCCCCTCCCCCCCAACCCACCCACCCCACCCCGCGCTCTACGCATGTTTTACTTTGTTTATATATATTTTTTAAAACTCCGCATCCCGTTCCGTGTGTGTACGTCATCGGTTTATCTTCCGGTACCGTTCTCGTGTTCTCGCTCACTCACTCGCTCGCTCGCTCGCCCCTTCTCTCTATGGCTCACCCTCTCGCTCTCTTACTCGCTCGCCAGCTCACCCACTCACTCACTCGCTCATTCATTCCCTTGCTCGCTCACCCACTCACTCGTTCGCTTAGCCACTCACTCTCTCACTCACTCGCTCTCTGGCTCGCTCACTCACTCGCTCGCTCGCCCCTTCCCTCTCTTGCTCACCCTCTCGCTCTCTTACTCGCTCGCCAGCTCACTCGCTCGCCAGCTCACCCACTCACACGCTTGCTTGTTCGCTTACCCACTTATTCACTCGCTCGCTCACTCATTCCCTTGCTCGCTCACCCACTCACCCGTTCGCTTAACCACTCACTCTCTCACTCACTCGCTCTCTGGCTCGCTCACTCACTCGCTCGCTCGCCCCTTCTCTCTCTTGCTCACCCTCTCGCTCTCTTACTCGCTCGCCAGCTCACTCGCTTGCTTGCTTGCTCGCTTACCCACTTATTCACTCGCTCACTCACTCATTCCCTTGCTCGCTCACCCACTCACTCGTTCGCTTAGCCACTCACCCACTCTCTCACTCGCTCGCTCACCCACTCACTCTCTCACTCACTTGCTCTCGCTCGCTCTCTCACTCACTCGTTCTCGCTTGCCCCCTCACCCACTCATCACTCAGTCTCTCGTTCGCTCACCCACTCACCCACTCGCTAACTCACTCACTCTCTCGCTCACCCGCTCACTCACTCACTTACTCACTCACTCACTTGCTCACTCGCTCACCCACTCGCCACTTACTCTCTCGCGCGCTCACCCACTCACCCACTCACTCTCTCGCTCGGTCGCTCACACCGCTCACCTCGCTCACTCGCTCACTTCCTCTCTCGCTCACCCACTTACTCGCTCGCTCACTCTCTCCCTCACTCTCTCCCTCACTCATCCACTCACTCACTCACTCTCTCGCTCACTCTCTCCCTCACCCACTCACCCACTCACTCGCTCGCTCGCCCACTGACTCTCTCGCTCACTCACTCGCTTACTCACTCGCTCGCTCACCCATTCACTCTCTCGCACACTCGCTCACTCTCTCGCTCACTCTCTCGCTCGCTCACCCAATCACCCACTCGCTCGCTCACTCTCTCGCTCGCTCACTCTCTTGCTCGCTCGCTCACCCACTCACCCACTCACTCGCTCGCTCACTCTCTTGCTCGCTCGCTCGCCCACTCACACTCTCACTCAATAAACTTGCTTACTCACTCGCTCGCTCACCCATTCACTCTCTCGCTCACTCTCTCGCACGCCCACTCACTCTCTCGCTCACTTACTCACTCGCTCGCTCACCCAATCACCCACTCGCTCGCTCGCCCACTTACTCTCTCGCTCACTCACTCGTTTACTCACTCGCTCGCTCACCCACTCACCCACTCACTCGCTCGCTCACTCACTCACTCACGCAATCACTCTCTCGCTCGCCCACTGACTCTCTCGCTCACTCACTCGCTTACTCACTCGCTCGCTCACCCACTCACCCACTCACTCGCTCGCCCACTTACTCTCTCGCTCACTCACTCGCTCACCCACTCACCCACTCGCTCGCTCGCTCGCCCACTGACTCTCTCGCTCACTCACTCGTTTACTCACTCGCTCGCTCACCCACTCACTCGCTCGCTCACTCTCTTGCTCGCTCGCTCACCCACTGACTCTCTCGCTCACTCACTCGCTTACTCACTCGCTCGCTCACCCAATCACCCACTCGCTCGCTCGCCCACTTACTCTCTCGCTCACTCACTCGCTCACCCACTCACCAACTCACTCGCTCGCTCACTCTCTTGCTCGCTCGCTCGCCCACTCACGCTCTCACTCACTCACTCACTTGCTGACTCACTCGCTCGCTTACCCACTCACCCACTCACTCTCCCGTTCACTCACTATGACGTACATATTCGCCCGGGATTGCTACCCCGGAACTCGCTTCGGGATCACACCCCCCCCCCCGCACCCCCCCCCCCCGCACCCCCCCCGCACCCCCCCCCGCACCCCCCCCCCGCACAACTTTTGTTTGGGGGGGGGGAGCAGCGGAAATTTTGCAGAGCTGCGACGGGCAGCTGACCGTGGAAATAACAAGGTGCGCAAGGGAGGGAGCGAGTGATTGAGTGGTTGAAAGAGCGAGCGAGGGACCGAGTGAGAGAGCGAGCGAGGGAGGGAGTGAGTGAGCGAGTGAGTGACCGAGCGAGGGAGTGAGCGAGCGAGTGAGCTAATGAGTGAGGGAGTGAGCGAGCGAGTGAATGAGTGAGCGAGTGAGTGAGTGAGCGAGTGAGTGAGCTAATGAGTGAGGGAGTGAGCGAGCGAGTGAATGAGTGAGCGAGTGAGTGAGTGAGCGAGTGAGTGAGCGAGCGAGGGAGCGAGCGAGGGACCGAGTGAACGAGCGAGTGAGTGATGAGCGAGCGAGGGAGTGAGTGAGCGAGTGAGCTAATGAGTGAGGGAGTGAGTGAGGGAGTGAGCGAGGGAGTGAGCGAGCGAGTGAGCTAATGAGTGAGCGAGCGAGTGAGCGAGCGAGGGAGCGAGCGAGGGACCGAGTGAACGAGCGAGTGAGTGATGAGCGAGCGAGTGAGCGGTGAGTGAGCGAACGAGGGAGCAAGTGAGAGAGAGAGAGTGAACGAGCGAGTGAGTGATGAGCGAGCGAAGGAGCGAGTGAGCTAATGAGTGAGCAAGCAAGAGAACGAGTGAGCGAGTGAGTGAGAGAGAGAGCGAGCGAGTGATAACTGAGCGAGTGAGCGAGTTGGGACAACAACCACAACAACAACAACCACAATAACCTCAACAACAACAACAACCACAATAACCTCAACAACAACAACCACAATAACCTCAACAACAACAACCACAATAACCTCAACAACAACAACCACAATAACCTCAACAACAACAACAACCACCACAATCCCGACCCTGGCAACACCGTGGCCTGTCTGCAGGTTAGCGCGTTGACGGGGGGGGGGGTAGAATCACCGTCCCCCCCCTCCTCCCCCCCACCTCCCCCCTCCTCCCCACTCCCCCCCGCCCCCCGCTCGAATAAAACCGCGAGGCGTGAGGGCGGCGATTGACGCCGCTGCCTCGAAGTGGCCACGCGGCGCCGAGTTCCCCAATGTCGCCGTGGTGCCTGGGAGGGTCCCCGCAGTGAGTTACAGCGCGGGCAGTCTACAACCACGCCTACCCACCCACCCACTTACCCACCCACCCACCCACTTACCCACCCACCCACCCACTTACCCACCCACCCACCCACTTACCCACCCACCCACCCACTTACCCACCCACCCACCCACTTACCCACCCACCCACCCACTTACCCACCCACCCACCCACTTACCCACCCACCCACTTACCCACCCACCCACCCACTTACCCACCCACCTAACCACCCACCTACCACCACCACCACCTACCCACCTTCCTACCCAACCACCTACCTACTCACCCACACACCCACCTACCAACCCACCTTCCTACCCACCCACCTACCTACTCACACACCTACCTACTCACACACCCACCTACCCACCCACCTACCCACCCACCCACCTACTTACCCACCCACCCACTTTACCACCGACCCACCCACTTACCCACCCACCCACTTACCCACCCACTTACCCACCCACCCACTTACCCACCCACCCACTTACCCACCCACTCACTTACCCACCCACCTAACCACCCACCTACCCACCCACCTAACCACCCACCTACCACCACCACCACCTACCCACCTTCCTACCCAACCACCTACCTACTCACCCACACACCCACCTACCAACCCACCTAACCACCTACCCACCCACCTTCCTACCCAACCACCTACCTACTCGCCCACACACCTACCCACCCACACACCTACCCACCCACCCAACTACCCACCTAGCCACGCCACCCACGCCACACCCCACCATGCCACCCACGCCACCCACCTCACCCACAACCCCACCCACACCCCACCCACACCCCACCCACACCCCACCAACACCCCACCCACACCCCACCCACCTGTGCCAGGCCCGAGTACATTCGCCCCATGGACTTGTAGTCCAGTCCCTCCGAGCAGTTGACGACGATGACGTAGACGCCCAGGGCCTTGCCCAGGTCCTTGACCGTCTCCGTTTTGCCCGTGCCCGCCGGGCCCTTCGGACAGCCGCCTCGGTGGAGGCGCAGGGCGGTGGTGAGGGTCAAGAAGCACCTGGCAAAGCCGTGGGGGGGGGAGAGGGGAGAGGGGGAGGGAGGGGGTGGGAGGGAGGGGGGGGTAGGAGGGTGGACAAGGGGAGGGTCAGCGGTCAGCGAATGGTCACCGCGATGCCGTGTTGACGTATACCGTGACGTCACCTGCACGTGAGTGGTGTAGCTGCACCCTCACCTGCACGTGAGTGACGTAGCTGTGACCTCACCTGTACGTGAGTGGTGTAGCTGCACCCTCACCTGTATGTGAGTGGTGTAGCTGCACCCTCACCTGCACGTGAGTGACGTGGCTGCACCCTCACCTGTCTGTGAGTGACGTAGCTGCACCCTCACCTGCACGTGAGTGACGTAGCTGCACCCTCACCTGCACGTGAGTGACGTAGCTGCACCCTCACCTGCACGTGAGTGACGTGGCTGCACCCTCACCTGTACGTGAGTGGTGTAGCTGCACCCTCACCTGCACGTGAGTGACGTAGCTGCACCTTCACCTGCACGTGAGTGACGTAGCTGCACCCTCACCTGTATGTGAGTAAGGTAGCTGCACCCTCACCTGTACGTGAGTGGTGTAGCTGCACCCTCACCTGTACGTGAGTGGTGTAGCTGCACCCTCACCTGCACGTGAGTGACGTGGCTGCACCCTCACCTGCACGTGAGTGACGTAGCTGCACCCTCACCTGCACGTGAGTTGTGTAGCTGCACCCTCACCTGTACGTGAGTGGTGTAGCTGCACCCTCACCTGCACGTGAGTGACGTAGCTGCACCCTTACCTGTACGTGAGTGACGTGGCTGCACCCTCACCTGCACGTGAGTGACGTAGCTGCACCCTCACCTGCACGTGAGTGGTGTAGCTGCACCCTCACCTGCACGTGAGTGACGTAGCTGCACCCTCACCTGCACGTGAGTGGTGTAGCTGCACCCTCACCTGCACGTGAGTGACGTAGCTGCACCCTCACCTGTACGTGAGTGGTGTAGCTGCACCCTCACCTGCACGTGAGTGGTGTAGCTGCACCCTCACCTGCACGTGAGTGACGTAGCTGCACCCTCACCTGTATGTGAGTGACGTAGCTGCACCCTCACCTGTCTGTGAGTGGTGTAGCTGCACCCTCACCTGCACGTGAGTGACGTAGCTGCACCCTCACCTGCACGTGAGTGACGTAGCTGCACCTTCACCTGCACGTGAGTGACGTAGCTGCACCCTCACCTGTCTGTGAGTAGTGTAGCTGCACACTCACCTGCACGTGAGTGGTGTGGCTGCACCCTCACCTGCACGTGAGTGACGTAACCGTGACCTCACCTGTCTGAGTAAGGTAGCTGCACACTCACCTGTATGTGAGTGGCGTAGCTGCACCCTCACCTGTCTGAGTAAGGTAGCTGCACACTCACCTGTATGTGAGTGACGTAGCTGCACCCTCACCTGCACGTGTGGCGTAGCTGCACCCTCACCTGCACGTGAGTGACGTGGCTGCACACTCACCTGCACGTGAGTGGCGTAGCTGCACCCTCACCTGCACGTGAGTGGCGTAGCTGCACCCTCACCTGCACGTGAGTGGTGTAGCTGCACCCTCACCTGCACGTGAGTGACGTGGCTGCACCCTCACCTGTATGTGAGTGGTGTAGCTCCACCCTCACCTGTAGGTGAGTGACGTAGCTGCACCCTCACCTGTACCTGAGTGACGTGGCTGCACCCTCACCTGCACGTGAGTGACGTAGCTGCACCCTCACCTGTATGTGAGTAAGGTAGCTGCACCCTCACCTGTACGTGAGTGGTGTAGCTGCACCCTCACCTGCACGTGAGTAACGTAGCTGCACCCTCACCTGCACGTGAGTGGTGTAGCTGCACCCTCACCTGCACGTGAGTGGTGTAGCTGCACCCTCACCTGCACGTGAGTAACGTAGCTGCACCCTCACCTGCACGTGAGTGGTGTAGCTGCACCCTCACCTGCACGTGAGTGGTGTAGCTGCACCCTCCCCTGTATGTGAGTGACGTGGCTGCACCCTCACCTGTCCGTGAGCGGGGTGATGACGAGGCGCCCCGAGTTGCCCAGGTACTCGTAGCCATAGGTGAACTGCGAGTTCGTCTGTCGCACGACGCAGTCGTCCGCCTCCTGCACACAAAAGACAAAGATCCCCCGTGTAGCCTTAACAGACTGCAGGGGCAAGTGCTGTTAGCGAGCACCTATGAAGGCCGGCATGGCACACGAGGGGGTGGGTGGCCAACACCACGCCCGGCCGTCTTTGTTTCCCCAGTGGTGATGTTTACACATCGCACCAGGTACTCATTTGAGGCTGAGTCGACCTAGGGGAGGCTCAGGGCCGGTTCAGATAATCGTCACCGGTGTTGGCCGTGAGCGGGAATCGAACCCCGGGTCGCCGGGTTCATAGCGCAGCGTAGCGCTAACCGCTACACTATCGCTCCCCACACACACACACACAACACACAGACACACACACACAAACACACACACACACAGACACACACAAACACACACACACACAGACACACACACAGACACACACACAGACACACACACAAACACACACACACAGACACACACACACACACAGACAAAACAAAAAACAAAGATCCCCCATATAGCCTTAACAGACTGTAGGGGCAAGTGCTGTTAGCGAGCACCTTTGAAGGCCGGAACGGTACACGAGGGGGTGGGTGGCCAGCACCACGCCCGACCGCCTTTGTCTCCCTAGTGGCAATGTTTACACACCGCACCAGGTACTCATTTTAGGCTGAGTCGACCTAGGGGAGGCCCGGGACCGGTTCAGATAATCGTCTCTGGTGTTGGCCGTGAGCGGGAATCGAACCCGGGTCGCCAGGTTCATAGCGCAGCGCGCTAACCGCTACACTACCGCTCCCCACACACACACACAGACAAAAAAAAACACACACACACAGACACACACACAGACACACACACACAGACACACAGACACACACACAAACACACACACAGACACACACACAAACACACACAAACACACACACAGACACACAGAGAGACACACACACACACACAACCACACACATACACACACACACAGACACACACAAACACACACACACAGACACACACACAAACACACACACACAGACACACATAAAGACAGACACACACACACAAACACACACACACAGACACACACACAGACACACACACAAACACACACACACAGACACACACAAACACACACACAGACACACAGAGACACACAAACACACACACAGACACACACACAGACACACAGACACCCACACATACACACACACAGACACATACAGACACACACACACACACAGACACACACAAAGACACACACAGACACACACACACAGACACACACACAGACACACACAAACACACACACAAAGACACACACAGACACACACACACAAATACACACACACACAGACACACACACAGACACACACAGACACACACAGACACACACACACAGACACACACAGACACACACACAGACACACACAGACACACACACAGACACACACACAAAGACACACACAGACACACACACACAGACACACAGACACACACATACACACACAGACAAACACATACACACACACACACAGACACCCACACAGACACACACACAGACACACACAGACACACACACACAAACACAAACACACACACAGACACACATACACACACACAGACACACACACAGACACACACACATACACACAAACACAGACACACACAGACACACACACACACAAACACATACACACACATACACATACACACAAACACACACACACACAGACACACACACACAAACACATACACACACACACATACACACACAGACACACACATACACACAGACACACACACATACACACAAACACACACAGACACACACACACACAAACACACACACACAGACACACAAACACACACACACAGACACACACACAGACACACACACAGACACACACAGACACACAGACACACAAACACACACACGCGCGCGTGCAGCAGCAGCAGCAGCGGGGGTGGGGCAAGGACGCACAAAGGTGACCCGCGTAGCCTCAACAGGCTGCTGTGGGCAAGTGCTGTCAGCTGTGCAGGTTTCATAGACTTTGGCGGGCAAGTGATCAGCCAATCCCCTGGCTGACGCTGCTGGTGCACGTGGATGTGGTGGTGGTGGTGTTGATAGGGTTAGTGGTGGCAATGGTGGCGGTGGTAGTGGTGGTGGCGGTGTTGGCGGTAGTGGTGGTGGCGGCGGTGGTGGTGGTGATGGTAGTGGTGGGTAGCAGTGGTGGGTAGTGGTGGGTGGTAGTGGTGGGTGGTGTTGGTGGCAGTGGTAGTGGTGTTGGCGGTGTTGGCGGTAGTGATGGTGTTGGTGGTAGTGATGGTGTTGGCGGTGTTGGCGGTAGTGATGGTGTTGGCGGTGTTGGCGGTAGTGATGGTGGTGGCGGTGTTGGTGGTAGTGATGGTGGTGGCGGTGGTGGTGGTGGTAGTGATGGTGGTGGCGGTAGTGATGGTGGTGGCGGTGTTGGCGGTAGTGATGGTGGTGACGGTGGTGATGGCGGTAGTGATGGTGGTGGCGGTGTTGGCGGTGTTGGCGGTGTTGGCGGTAGTGATGGTGGTGGCGATGTTGGCGGTAGTGATGGTGGTGACGGTGGTGGTGGTGGTAGTGATGGTGGTGGCGGTGTTGGCGGTAGTGATGGTGTTGGCGGTGTTGGCGGTAGTGATGGTGGTGGTGGTGGTAGTGATGGTGGTGGCGGTGTTGGCGGTAGTGATGGTGTTGGCGGTGTTGGCGGTAGTGATGGTGGTGGCGATGTTGGCGGTAGTGATGGTGGTGACGGTGGTGGTGGTGGTAGTGATGGTGGTGGCGGTGTTGGCGGTAGTGATGGTGTTGGCGGTGTTGGCGGTAGTGATGGTGTTGGCGGTGTTGGCGGTGTTGGCGGTGGTGGTAGTGATGGTGGTGGCGGTGTTGGCGGTAGTGATGGTGTTGGCGGTGTTGGCGGTAGTGATGGTGTTGGCGGTAGTGATGGTGGTGGTAGTGATGGTGGCGGTAGTGATGGTGTTGGCGGTGGTGTTGGCGGTAGTGATGGTGTTGGCGGTGTTGGCGGTGGTGGTGGTGTTGGCGGTAGTGATGGTGGTGGCGGTGATGGTGGTAGTGATGGTGGTGGTAGTGATGGTGTTGGCGGTGGTGTTGGCGGTAGTGATGGTGATGGCGGCTCGTATTTTATCCATCCCCGCCTGCCGTTTGAGCCATTTACTTCCTCGGTGGCGGTAAGGGTGGGGGGATGGTGGCGGTGGTGGGGGGTGGTGGGGGGAGAGGTGGTGGTGGGGGGGTGGTGGTGGGGGGGGGGCTCGAAGAAGAAATAAAACATGAAGGAACACAGAGCGACATTAGGGGCTGATGGGCGTGAAGAGTGCAAATTCAGCACCAGGCCAGGGATAGGCAACAGCCATGGGGGATGGTGGGGGGTGGTGGTGGGGGGTGGTGGTGGGGGGTGGTGGGGGGTGGTGGTGGGGGGTGGTGGGGGTGGTGGGGATGGTGGGGGGGCAGCGACCATCACCGTCACCACCGTCACCCCCACCGTCACCGCCACCTTCACCACCACCGTCACCACCACCACCTTCACCACTACCGTCACCACTACCGCCACCACCACCCTCACCGTCACCACCACCACCCTCACCACCACCACCTTCACCACCACCGTCACCACCACTCTCACCACCACCACCTTCACCACCACCGTCACCACCACCATCACCACCACCACCACCGTCACCGCCCACCCCTCACCTTCTCCCAGTAGGTGCACAGCCGTCACCACCACCATCACCACCACCGTCACCACCACCACCACCACCATCACCACCACCTTCACCACCACCTTCACCACCACCACCACCGTCACCACCACCGTCACCACCACCGTCTCCACCACCGTCACCACCACCGTCACCACCACCGCCACCTTCACCACCACCACCACCACCTTCACCACCACCACCCTCACCACCACCACCCTCACCTTCACCACCACCACCACCCTCACCACCACCACCACCACCCTCACCACCACCACCACCACCCTCACCACCACCGTCACCGTCACCACCGTCACCGCCCACCCCCTCACCTTCTCCCAGTAGGTGCGCAGCTGTCACCACCACCATCACTACTACCACCTTCACCACCCTCACCTTCACCACCCTCACCGTTACCACCACCACCACCTACACCACCACCCTCACCTTCACCACCACCACCACCACCGCCACCGCCCACCCCTCACCTTCTCCCAGTAGGTGCGCAGCTGGCTGAGCCAGTCGAAGGCGGTGGGGTCGGTGCAGCCGGTGCGTGTGAGGCGCTCCACCACGTCGCGGTCGCGCACCCCCAGCGTGGCGAGCGCCACCAGGCGCAGGCGCAGCGGCCTACTCAGGCTGCCGCGGATCGCCTCCGAGTAGCGGTGCAGCAGGGAGACCTGGGGGCGCGGAAGGTCACGCAGAAGGTCACACAGAAGGTCACGTGGAAGGTCGCGTGGCAGGTCACACAGAAGGTCACGTGGAAGTTCGCATGGAAGGTCGCGCAGAAGGTTGCGTGGCAGGTCACGCGGCGGGTCACGTGGAAGGTCACGTAGCAGGTCACGCACAAGGTCGCGTGGCAGGTCACACAGAAGGTCGCGCGGAAGGTTGCGTGGCAGGTCACGCGGCAGGTCACGTGGAAGGTCACGTGGCAGGTCACGCACAAGGTCACGTGGAAGGTTGCGAAGCAGGTCACGTGGAAGGTCACAAGGCAGGTCGCGTGGAAGGTCACTCGGCAGGTCACGTGGAAGGTCACTCGGCGGGTCATGAGGCAGGTCACGCGGCAGGTCGCGCGGAAGGTCACGCGGCAGGTCGTGCGGAAGGTCACGTGGAAGGTCACTCAGAAGGTCGCGCGGCAGGTCACGTGGAAGGTCACGCAGAAAGGTCAAGCGGGAGGTCACGCGGCAGGTCACGTGGAAGGTCACGCGGCAGGTCACTCAAGGGGTCACACGGCCGGTCAGGCAGCCAGTCACGTAAGCCAGTTAGGTCGCTAATTGAGGGTTGGTGAGGTGGTGGTGGTGGGGGGGGGTGGGTGGTGGTGGGGGGGGTTTGGTGTGGTGGTGGGGGGGGGCCCGGGCCCCCCTCACCTGCTTCTTCTTCAGAGTCTTCAGCGCCGCTGAGTCGGCACGCTCCTTGGCGGTGCTCAACGCCTTGTGCACGTCGCTCGTCCACTGTGCCTGGCTCGCTGTGAGGAGCAGCTGTGGACGGCAACCAGAGACCCACAGACTCACACAGAGACTCACAGAGACCCACAGACTCACACAGAGACTCACAGAGTCACACAGAGACCCGTAGAGTCACACAGAGACTCATAGAGTCACACAGAGACCCGTAGAGTCACACAGAGACCCATAGAGTCACACAGAGACACACAGACTCACACAGAGACTCATAGAGTCACACAGAGACCCATAGACTCACACAGAGACCCACAGACTCACACAGAGACCCACAGACTCACACAGAGACCCACAGAGTCACGCAGAGACTCATAGAGTCACACAGAGACCCACAGACTCACACAGAGACCCACAGAGACCCACAGACTCACACAGAGACCCACAGACTCACACAGAGACCCATAGACTCACACAGAGACCCACAGACTCACACAGAGACCCACAGACTCACACAGAGACCCACAGACTCACACAGAGACTCATAGAGTCACACAGAGACCCACAGACTCACACAGAGACCCACAGACTTACACAGAGACCCACAGACTCACACAGAGACCCACAGACTCACACAGAGACCCGCAGACTCACACAGAGACCCATAGACTCACACAGAGACCCACGGACTCACACAGAGACCCACAGACTCACACAGAGACCCTCAAACTCACACAGAGACCCATAGACTCACACAGAGACCCACAGACTCACGCAGAGACCCATAGACTCGCACAGAGACCCATAGGCACACACAGAGACCCATAGACTCACACAGAGACCCATTGGCACACACAGAGACCCACAAACTCACACAGAGACCCACAGACTCACACAAAGACCCACAGATTCACATAGAGACCCATAGATACACACAGAAACCCACAGACTCACACAGAGACCCACAGACTCTCATAGAGACCCATAGACACACACAGAGACCCACAGGCTTACACAGAGACCCATAGACTCACACAGAGACCCACAGACTCACACAGAGACCCACAGACTCTCATAGAGACCCATAGACTCACACAGAGACCCACAGACTCTCATAGAGACCCATAGACTCACACAGAGACCCACAGACTCACACAGCGACCCACAGACTCTCATAGAGACCCATAGACTCACACAGAGACCCACAGACTCACACAGAGACCCATAGACACACACGGAGACCCACAGACTCCACCGCCACCACCACCACCGCCACCAAAACCACCATCACCACAACCACCGCCACCACCACAACCACTATCACCACCATCACCACCACCATCACCACCACCACCACCTCCCACACCGCCCGCCAGCGCCGCCAGCCCGGCTACCTGTCCCGGCCACTCCCGGATCCACTTGTCGCGTTTGCCGCCGGTCTTCCTGAGCGTCAGCAGGCATTCGCGCAGTAGCTCCCTGAGTGTGTGGCGCATGGCCCGTTCAGCGTCGCACAGCCAGGCCTGGCGAGGGGGCGCGGCACACAGACACACGCAGACACGCACACACAGACACACGCAGACACACAGACACGCACACACACAGACACGCACACACAGAGACACACAGACACACGCAGACACAGAGACACGCAGACACACATACACGCAGACACAGACACACGCAGACACGCACACACAGACACACACAGAGACACGCAGACACACAGAGACACACAGACACACACACAGAGACACGCAGACACACAGAGACACACAGACACGCACACACGCAGACACGCACACACACGCAGACACCCAGACACACACACGCAGACACACGCAGACACACAGACACGCAGACACACAGACACGCAGACACAGAGACACAGACACGCACACACACACAGACACAGAGACACACACACACGCACACACACAGACACACGCAGACACACAGACACATAGACACAGAGACACACAAACACGCACACACACAGACACACGCAGACACACACACACACAGAGACACAGAGACACGCACACACGCACACACACAGACACACGCAGACACACAGACACATAGACACAGAGACACACAAACACGCACACACACAGACACACGCAGACACACACAGACACATAGACACAGAGACACGCAGACACACAGACACGCAGATACAGAGACACAGACACGCAGACACACAGCCACAGAGACACACAGACACGCAGACACACAGACACGCAGACACGCAGACACAGAGACACGCAGACACGCAGACACACAGACACAGACACACGCAGACACACACCCAGGTGAGTGACGCAGGGGGTAAGCGACACGTGGGGGTGAGCGACACGTGTTGGTGAGCGACGCGTGGGGGTGAGCGACGCGTGTTGGTGAGCGACGCGCGGGGGGTGAGCGACGCGTGGGGGTGAGCGACGCGTGGGGGTGAGCGACGCGTGGGGGGTGAGCGACGCGTGGGGGTGAGCGACGCGTGGGGTGAGCGACGCGTGGGGGTGAGCGACACGTGTTGGTGAGCGACACGTGTTGGTGAGCGACACGTGTTGGTGAGCGACACGTGGGGGTGAGCGACACGTGTTGGTGAGCGACACGTGGGGGTGAGCGACACGCGTGGGGGTGAGCGACACGTGGGGGTGAGCGACACGTGTTGGTGAGCGACACGTGTTGGTGAGCGACACGTGTTGGTGAGCGACACGTGGGGGTGAGCGACACGTGTTGGTGAGCGACACGTGGGGGTGAGCGACACGCGTGGGGGTGAGCGACACGTGGGGGTGAGCGACACGTGTTGGTGAGCGACACGTGGGGGTGAGCGACGCGTGGGGGTGAGCGGTAACCTCGACGGGTCCCTCCAGAAGCACGGCAGCGGAGAAGCTGACGACTTCTCCGTCAGACGAGGCCATGGCCGTGGCCTCCATCCTCCGCGAGGGCCCCGACACCTGGTGAGTGAGCAGGTGGGTGGGTGAGCAGGTGGGTGGGTGAGCAGGTGGGTGGGTGAGCAGGTGGGAGAGTGAGCAGGTGGGTGGGTGAGCAGGAGGGTGGGTGAGCAGGTAGGTGGGTGAGCAGGTGGGTGAGCAGGTGGGTGGATGAGCAGGTGGGTGGGTGAGCAGGTGGGTGGGTGAGCAGGTGGGAGAGTGAGCAGGTGGGTGGGTGAGCAGGAGGGTGGGTGAGCAGGTAGGTGGGTGAGCAGGTGGGTGGGTGAGCAGGTGGGTGAGCAGGTGGGTGGATGAGCAGGTGGGTGGGTGAGCAGGTGGGTGAGCAGGTGGGTGGGTGAGCAGGTGGGAGAGTGAGCAGGTGGGTGGGTGAGCAGGTGGGTGAGCAGGTGGGAGAGTGGGTGAGCAGGTGGGTGGGTGAGCAGGTGGGGTGAGCAGGTGGGTGAGCAGGTGGGTGGGTGAGCCGGTGGGAGAGTGGGTGAGCAGATGGGTGAGTGAGAAGGTGGGAGAGTGGGTGAGCAGGTGAGAGAGTGGGTGAGCAGGTGGGTGAGTGAGCAGGTGGGTGAGTAGGTGGGTGAGTGGGTGAGCAGGTGGGTGAGTGAGCAGGTGGGAGAGTGGGTGAGCAGGTGAGAGAGTGGGTGAGTGAGCAGGTGGGTGAGTGAGCAGGTGGGAGAGTGGGTGAGCAGGTGGGTGAGTGAGCAGGTGGGAGAGTGGGTGAGCAGGTGGGAGAGTGAGCAGGTGGGTGGGTGAGCAGGTGGGAGTGTGAGCAGGTGGGTGGGTGAGCAGGTGGGAGAGTGAGCAGGTGGGAGAGTGAGCACGTGGGAGAGTGAGCACGTGGGTGAGCAGGTTCGGAGAGTGGGTGAGCAGGTGGGTGAGTGAGCAGGTGGGTGAGTGAGCAGGTGGGAGAGTGGGTGAGCAGGTGGGTGAGTGAGCAGGTGGGAGAGTGAGCAGGTGGGTGGGTGAGCAGGTGGGTGAGTGAGCAGGTGGGTGAGTGAGCAGGTGGGTGAGTGAGCAGGTGGGTGAGTGAGCAGGTGGGTGAGTGAGCAGGTGGGAGAGTGAGCAGGTGGGTGGGTGAGCAGGTGGGTGAGTGAGCAGGTGGGTGGGTGAGCAGGTGGGTGAGCAGGTGGGTGGATGAGCAGGTGGGTGAGCAGGTGGGTGGGTGAGCAGGTGGGTGGGTGAGCAGGTGGGAGAGTGAGCAGGTGGGTGGGTGAGCAGGTGGGTGAGCAGGTGGGTGGGTGAGCAGGTGGGTGAGCAGGTGGGAGAGTGGGTGAGCAGGTGGGTGAGCAGGTGGGTGAGCAGGTGGGTGGGTGAGCCGGTGGGAGAGTGGGTGAGCAGATGGGTGAGTGAGCAGGTGGGAGAGTGGGTGAGCAGGTGAGAGAGTGAGTGAGCAGGTGGGTGAGTGAGCAGGTGGGAGAGTGGGTGAGCAGGTGGGAGAGTGGGTGAGCAGGTGAGAGAGTGGGTGAGCAGGTGGGTGAGTGAGCAGGTGGGTGAGCAGGTGGGTGAGTGGGTGAGCAGGTGGGTGAGTGAGCAGGTGGGAGAGTGTGTGAGCAGGTGAGAGAGTGGGTGAGCAGGTGGGTGAGTGAGCAGGTGGGAGAGTGAGCAGGTGGGTGGGTGAGCAGGTGGGAGTGTGAGCAGGTGGGTGGGTGAGCAGGTGGGAGAGTGAGCAGGTGGGAGAGTGAGCAGGTGGGAGGGTGAGCACGTGGGTGAGCAGGTTCGGAGAGTGGGTGAGCAGGTGGGTGAGTGAGCAGGTGGGAGAGTGGGTGAGCAGGTGGGTGAGTGAGCAGGTGGGTGAGTGAGCAGGTGGGAGAGTGAGCAGGTGGGAGAGTGAGCAGGTGGGTGAGTGAGCAGGTGGGAGAGTGGGTGAGCAAGTGGGTGAGTGAGCAGGTGGGAGAGTGAGCAGGTGGGTGACTGAGCAGGTGGGAGAGTGGGTGAGCAGGTGGGTGAGTGAGCAGGTGGGAGAGTGAGCAGGTGGGAGAGTGAGCAGGTGGGAGAGTGAGCAGGTGGGTGAGTGAGCAGGTGGGAGAGTGGGTGAGCAGGTGGGTGAGTGAGCAGGTGGGAGAGTGAGCAGGTGGGTGAGTGAGCAGGTGGGTGAGTGAGCAGGTGGGAGAGTGGGTGAGCAGGTGGGTGAGTGAGCAGGTGGGAGAGTGAGCAGGTGGGTGAGTGAGCAGGTGGTTGAGTGAGCACGTGGGAGCGTGGGTGAGCAGGTGGGTGAGTGAGCAGGTGGGAGAGTGGGTGAGCGAGTGGGTAAGTGAGCAGGTGGGTGGGTGAGCGGGTGGAAGAGTGAGCGAGTGGGTAAGTGAGCAGGTGGGTGGGTGAGCGGGTGGGAGAGTGAGCGAGTGGGTGAGTGAGCGAGTGGGTGAGTGAGCGAGTGGGTGAGTGAGCAAGTGGGAGAGTGGGTGAGTGAGCGGGTGGGAGAGTGGGTGAGTGAGCAGGTGGGAGAGTGAGTGAGCGAGTGGGTGAGTGAGCAGTGGGTTAGTGCGCAGGTGGGCCGTTGTTTGTGTAGGTGAGCGAGTGGGTGAGTGAGTGAGCGGGTGAGTGAGCGGGTGGTTGAGGGAGCAGGTGGGCCGGTGTTTGAGTGAGTGAGCGAGTGGGAGGGTAGGTGAGCGGGTGGGTGAGCTAGCGGGTGAATGAGTGAGCGGGTGGGTGAGTGAGCGGGTGGGCCAGTGTTTGAGCGAGTGAGCGAGTGGGAGTGTGGGTGAGCGAGTGGGTGAGCGAGTGGGTGAGTGAGCGAGTTGGAGAGTGGGTGGGCTAGTGGGTGAGTGAGCGAGTGGGTGAGTGAGCGAGTGGGTGAGTGAGCAGGTGGGCCGGTGTTTGAGTGAGTGAGTGAGCGAGTGCGTGAGTGAGCGAGTGGGTGAGTGAGCGAGTGGGCCGGTGTTTGAGTGAGTGAGCGAGTGGGTGAGTGAGTGAGTGAGTGGGTGAGTGAGCGAGTGGGCCAGTGTTTGAATGAGTGAGCGAGTGGGTGAGTGAGTGAGTGGGTGAGTGAGCGAGTGGGCCGGTATTTGATTGAGTGAGCGAATGGGTGAGTGAGCGAGTGGGTGAGTGAGCAGGTGGGCCGGTGTTTGAGTGAGTGAGCGAGTGGGTGAGTGAGCGAGTGGGTGAGTGAGCAGGTGGGCCGGTGTTTGAGTGAGTGAGCGAGTGGGTGAGTGAGTGAGTGGGTGAGTGAGCGAGTGGGCCGGTATTTGATTGAGTGAGCGAATGGGTGAGTGAGCGAGTGGGTGAGTGAGCAGGTGGGCCGGTGTTTGAGTGAGTGAGCGAGTGGGAGAGTGGGTGAGCGAGTGGGTGAGCGAGTGGGTGAGTGAGCAGGTGGGCCGGTGTTTGAGTGAGTGAGTGAGTGGGTGAGTGAGCGAGTGGGTGAGTGAGCGAGTGGGTGAGTGAGCAGGTGGGCCGGTGTTTGAGTGAGTGAGCGAGTGGGTGAGTGAGCGAGTGGGTGAGTGAGCGAGTGGGCCGGTGTTTGAGTGAGTTGAGCGAGTGTCGACCCTCCCGACCTTCTGGATGGTGAGTGACTTGATGTTGTCGAAGCACTTCTTGAGGTGCGGCTGCACAGCCGCGGGGTTGCGTGCCTGGCCCAGGATCTCGAGGAGCTCGTCGTTGGACAGGAAGTAGAAGCGAGGGAACACCTGTGGGTGCCGTGGGGGGGGGGGGGGGGGGGGTGCGGAAATCGTACATCGAGAGCGCTTCGTTTGTACCGCAAGGAGAGGAATCCGATGAGCTGTGAAGCTCTTTTTACGTTCATCGGCACACGTCCAGGAAGGAGGGCACGGAGTGAGAACTTTCAGAATGAGAATATATTACCTGGTGAAATTAATAAATAAAAAATTGCTTCGATTTTAGGTTTATTTATACTGCAGGAGAACAGATTGCCAGGGCCGTGATCGGACCCACGACCTCCTGCGTACCAGGCGAGGTAGTCAACATCTCCTAGCCACCGTGATGACGACGATGATGAGAGAGAGACGCAGACTCCAAATATACAGCAGCAGCAGCAGGCGTCGTCAGGTTCTGGATCGAACCCACGACCTCCTGCGTACCGGGCGAGGTAGTCAACATCTCCAAGCCACCCTGGTGATGATGATGATGAGAGAAAGACACGCAGACTCACCTGTCTCTTGGTCTCCAGGTACATGTCCAGCGACTTCTGGATGTCTTCCAAGGAGGCAATCATCTCTCCCAGCCTCTCCAGCAGCCCTGCGAAGACACACAAAGACAAAGGTCTCCCGTGTAGCTTCTACAGACTGCTGGGGCAAGTGCTGTTAGTAGCGAGTAGCAGCAGCACCTATGAAGGTAGACACAGACAAAGGTCCCCCGTGTAGCCTCTACAGACTGCTGGGGCAAGTGCTGTTAGTAGCGAGTAGCAGCAGAACCCATGAAGGTAGACACAGACAAAGGTCCCCCGTCTAGCCTCTACAGACTGCTGGGGCAAGTGCTGTTAGTAGCGAGTAGCAGCAGCACCTATGAAGGTAGACACAGACAAAGGTCCCCCGTGTAGCCTCTACAGACTGCTGGGGCAAGTGCTGTTAGTAGCGAGTAGCAGCAGCACCTATGAAGGTAGACACAGACAAAGGTCCCCCGTGTAGCCTCTACAGACTGCTGGGGCAAGTGCTGTTAGTAGCGAGTAGCAGCAGAACCCATGAAGGTAGACACAGACAAAGGTCCCCCGTGTAGCCTCTACAGACTGTAGGGGCAAGTGCTGTTAGTAGCGTGTAGCAGCAGAACCTATGAAGGTAGACACAGACAAAGGTCCCCCGTGTAGCCTCTACAGACTGCTGGGACAAGTGCTGTTAGTAGGGAGTAGCAGCGCCTATGAAGGTAGACACAGACAAAGGTCCCCCGTCTAGCCTCTACAGACTGCTGGGGCAAGTGCTGTTAGTAGCGAGTAGTAGCAGCGCCTATGAAGGTAGACACAGACAAAGGTACCCCGTGTAGCCTCTACAGACTGCTGGGGCAAGTTCTGTTAGTAGCGAGTAGTAGCAGCACCTATGAAGGCAGACACAGACAAAGGTCCCCCGTGTAGCCTCTACAGACTGCTGGGGCAAGTGCTGTTAGTAGCGAGTAGTGAGCAAAGGCCCCCCTTTGACCCCCCCCCCCCCCACACTGAGGCATGTACTTATTTTTAGAAGCGAACCTTGCACATCGCAATTGCTAGTGGCCCATCACCATCACCGTGGTGGGGGGTGATGGTGGGGGAATAGGGATGTGGGGGGAGGGGGCGGTGGTGGTGTTGGTGGGAGGTGGTGGTGGTAGTGGTGGGTGGCGGCGGCGGTGGTGGTGGGTGGTGTTGGTGTTGGTGGGCGGTGGTGGTGGTGGTGACGGTGGTGGCGGTGGTGGTGGGTGGTGTTGGTGGGCGGTGGTGGTGGTGACGGTGGTGGTGGTGACAGTGGTGGCGGTGGTGGGTGGTAGTGGTGGTGGGGGCGGTGGCGGTGGTAGTGGTGGTGGTGGTGGTGTTGGTGGTGGTGGTGGGTAGTAGTGGTGGTGTTGGTGGTAGTGGTGGGTGTTGGGGGTCGTGGTGGGTGGTGGTGGTGGTGTTGGTGGTAGTGGTGGGTGTTGGTGGTGTTGGTGTTGGTGGTAGCAGTGGTGGGTGAATGGTGGTGGTGGGTGGCGGCGGTGGTGGTGTTGGTGGTGGGTGGTGGTGGTAGTGGTGGGTGGCGGCGGTGGTGGTGTTGGTGGTGGTGGTGGGTGGTGGTGTTGGTGGCGGTGGTGGTGTTGGTGGTAGCAGTGTTGGTGTTGGTGGAGTTGGTGTTGGTGGCGGTGGCGGTGGTGTCGGTGCTGCCGGTGCTACAGACGAGGCGACCGACCTGGCCGCTGAGCTCCCCGCAGGGCGTTGGAGTCAGCCGCCAGCGTCCCCATCACCTCCCTCCACTCGCCGTCGATGGCGTCGAAGCGGCTCGACTCGAGGGGCAGCTGCTTGCGGATGTCCTCGCCGAGGAAGATGTT